AGTCCAGGCCGAACTGCCGCGGCGTCCCGCCGTTCCTCGGGCGCAGCCAGCCCGGGCCCTCCCCGGGGGGTGGCGGGGGTGGGGGTCGTCACAGCAGTGGCGGCACCCTCCTCCCAACCACCAGCTCGGGAGGTCTGCAGGCCGCCTCCCGCGTCGCCTGTCGTCATGGTTACCCTTGACGACGGGCACGTGGTGGCGGTCCCTTGGCACTGCGCCCACGCCACTCGAAAATTCCGAGCCACCTCCCCTACTGGACGGTGGATAATACGGTTCGACCGTTTCGGCCGACCACGTACGATCCGCCGTCTAGAGAGGGGGTAGTGTAACGGCGTGGCCGTTACTAACGCCTCGCGGGCCGATCACCCGCCCGCCACTTGAGGCTATGGCGCCTAAGGCGCCCCTAAAACGCAAAACACAAAGTGATACACGGGTCACCCTACCCCAGGGGCGCCCCACTACAACCCCCAGAGGCGCCCCACTACGATGCCGGCGCGTTACCCCCACCACAGCCTCGATGCAGAGTGGGGGAACCGCCGGCAGGGTATATAAGCCGGCTCGACGGATGAGCCGGCACCAGTCCTGTTCCGGACCTCCTAGCCAGGCAACGGGCTTCTCGTTGTTACGCCGGGTTTCTCGGTTTCTGGCCTCCTACCTTTAGTATCGGGCAACGGGTTTCTCGTTGTTACGCCGGGTTTCCCGGTTTCCGGTCTCTTCCTGCTATACACCGGGTGACGGGTTTCTCGTCATTACGCCGGGTTTCCCGGTTTCCGGTCTCTTCCTGCTACACGCCGGGCAACGGGTTTCTCGTTGTTACGCCGGGTTTCCCGGCTTCCGGTCTCTTCCTGCTATACACCGGGTGACGGGTTTCTCGTCATTACGCCGGGTTTCCCGGTTTCCGGTCTTCTACTGTTACACGCCGGGCGACGGGCTTCTCGTCGTTACGCCGGACTTCCCGGTTTCCGGACACCGATATAGGCTATATGCCTCAGTACGTTCGATCTCCAGATTTCGCATACCGGGTGACCTGTAAGTCCTTTCCGGACACCGCTACAGGCTATACGCCTCCGTACACCGTATCTCTAAGTTATACCGGGTAATTTGTAAGTCTTTTCCGGACACCGCTACAGGCTATACGCCTCCGTATTTTGTTTATACCGGGTAGTCAATAAGTTTCTCTATTCAGGCTTTATGCCAACGAACATTTTGTTTACTTGTTTCTTTTTGAATAAACCAAAGCATTGTTAATAAGGAATAAGCGAGTCTGAATCTCCCTTTCCTCCCGAATCCTGGAACCGGCGAGCCGATCCGCGGCGTCGGGAAAGGTGAACCGTTACAAAATACAATGTTAAACGATTCTTCGCTGATGACCAATGGATGAGTAAAACGATTGGTCTGAGATTTCAAGTTTTGCGACATTTAATCATGCTGTGGATATTTTACGCGAATTAAATTAATATCAGAGAAAATGAAAAAATCTTTCAACTTACATTATCGTTTTAACAAGTTCTTCTTCTCGACATTTTAAGTGTGTGTTGCGAAGTCTAAATTGGTCATCAGCGAAGAATCGTTTAACTTTGTATTTTAATATTTAACTAACTTTGTATTTTAATATTTAACTAACTTTTTATTTTAATATTTATAACTTTGTATTATAATATTTGTTTAAAATTGTCACGTATTTTCGAAACGACGAAGCAAGGTCAATCGTAGAAATTGAAAATATTCGACGCCGAGATGTTATTCCGGTTGTTTTCGATTCCGCGAGCGAGGAATCTACAAAAACTCGCCTTTGTCTCGCGTTTCGGAGCATGATGGGGCAATCGTCCGCGAATAGGATTTCAGCACGTGTGCCACGCGTCGATCGGATGATCGATCGCCCCCTTAGCTGCCGAATTCCGCGAGGATCAAAAATGAGTCTACTCGAGGAGTCTGAACTGAAGAGACGTCTCCGTGTATATCAGCGAAAAGAGCATCGCGCGAATTTATCTCGCTCTAGAGCGAACTTCCGCGTTTTAATTTTGTCTGCGAGAATTTTGAATAAAACTGCTTTGCCTCAAAAGTGAATTTCTCCACCTTACAATTTTCTCCGCATCCAGTCTCCTTCGTATCTGCGAGCCGACTTATAAATAAATAAATTTGCCTCTGCGCGGAAAATTAAAATAAATCGAAGGTTCTCGCACAGAAGTAAAATGGTCCTTCGAGCCGGATAGTGAAGATAACGAGGACGATAAGGTAAAACGGAGAAAGTGATTCTCGTGTGACTCTCGCGGACAGTGAAAAAGCGCGGGTGGACAATAGAAGCACATCGTCTTACAAACGAGTGTGCAAAAGAAGAGACAGGAACCAAGTGTCGAGTTCGCTCTCGAGAAACAAGTGTACGGGTAGACTCCGATTCACGTCGTCAAAACCCAATTCGACTCGTGAGACGAAACTTAGTGGTCTCTTTCGAGACAAATTCGTCGCGTTCGACAGTCAGGTCGTTCGCGAACTCGTGCCGTCGGCGCCGTTTACGCGCCCGACATACTTAGTGGTCTCTTTCGAGACAAATTCGTCGCGTTCGACAGTCAGGTCGTTCGCGAACTCGTGCCGTCGGCGCCGTTTACGCGCCCGACATACTTAGTGGTCTCTTTCGAGACAAATTCGTCGCGTTCGACAGTCAGGTCGTTCGCGAACTCGTGCCGTCGGCGCCGTTCACGCGCCCGACATACTCAGTGGTCTCTTTTGAGACAAATTCGTCGCGTTTCGACAACAAGGTCGTCCGCGAACTCTTGCCGTCCGCGCCGTTCACGCGCCTGACATAATCAATGGTCTCAAGTCAAACTTGAGACATACGCGTCGCGTTCGATAAAGGAAGCGTCCGCGAATCTTTCCGTCTGTACGACTGACGTTCCTCGGAAAAAAAAAAAATGTCGACAGCAAAAGATCTGTTGATCGCGCAATTAGACACGATCTCTCAAGTGAAACGCGTGCTAGTGAATTACAAGAAGTTGGCTAAGGTCAATATTACCCTGCCAAAAATTCAAGGACGATTGGACGAGCTTACGTCGCTCTGGGCATCCTGCAGGGAGCTCCACGTCAAGCTCTTACAATCTACGTCTTCAGATGAACGGGCGAAGGCTGCCTACTTCGTCGATGAAGATTTTCTAATCGCTGAGGATGTCTACCTCGAGACGGCCGATACGCTCCGTGATATAATAAGTAAATTAAGCATCTCTTCACCGCCTTCTCTCGATCGTAGCACTGACTCCTCGTTTCGCGACAGTAATAATAATAGTTTTCAGTTGCCTCGTATTACGCTTCCGAAATTTTCGGGGAAGTTTTCCGAATGGGAAAGCTTCAAGAACACTTTCGAGTCTCTCGTTGCTAGTAACGGTACGCTCACTAACACTCAAAAGTTTCATTACCTGAAAACAAGTGTCATCGGTGACGCTGCCTTAATAATAAATAATTTAAAGATTTCGGATCCGAATTACGAATCGGCGTGGCAACTCTTAATTGCCGAATATGATGATGAGGCGACCTTGATTAATACTCACTTGCATGCTTTCATGAGCATGCCCGTTATGAAACATGAAAGCGTAGGCGAGTTAAAGAGATTGCGAGACACGGTGGCTGCATCGCTGGCCGCGCTGACGAATTTGAGTCGACCGGTTGCTCAGTGGGACGATATGCTTGTTTATTGCATCTCGCAAAAATTCTGTCAAAAAACGCGAAGCGAGTGGAACTTGAAGTGTTCCTCTATAACTTCAATTCCGGCGTACCAAGATATTCATGAATTTCTTACGACTAGAATCCGCGGATTGTCAGACTTCGCGGAAGTTTCAAGAGAAAGTGTTAATCAAAAGCTAGACAAGCCGCGTTCGTCAATGCATAACGTCTCCGCTGTCAAGTGCATATGCTGCTCAGGCAATCATTTCGTGATAAAGTGCGAGCCGTTTCGTCAAAAATCAGTTGAACAACGAAATGAGCTCGCTCGCAAAAATCGTGTATGCTTTAATTGTTTGCGCTCGGGGCATATTTCGCCGAATTGCCCGAGCCAACAGCGATGCAACCACTGTAGTCGGTCTCATCATTCTTTATTGCATTCCGAAAATTATCAATCGTCAGCTGTCAGAAAAGGTTCGGAAGCTGCGAAACCGAGCGTGAAAACGAATGCGAAGTCCGAAGCCTTGGACGGTTCCAATAACGCTGCCGTGGCCAGCGTCCAGACAATCGAACCGCCGGACTTTACGACTCCGGCGGTTCTCCTCGCAACCGCGTGGGTGAACATCCACACCGCTGAGGGCCGACGCTTTAAGGTTCGCGCGCTATTGGATCAGGGATCCAATTTTAGTTTTATATCGGAATCTTTCTGACAAACCATACGGACCAGGCGACAAAGAACCGATTTACAAATCAAAGGATTCGGGGAAAAATACACGGGTGCCGCAAAGTCGCGCGTGTCCTTGCGAATGACTCCGTGCGCGAAATCCGACCCGGTATTTCCAATCACAGTGTACGTGTTTCCGAAGATCACGTCGTACGCGGCTTCGCGAGTTCGACCTGTCGAATCGTGGCCTCACTTGAAGGGCCTTTCCTTCGCGGATCCGGATCCGTCGAGCAAACATCAAATTCACTTGCTTCTTGGAGCCGACGTTTATGGCTCACTTTTGATGCGCGACTTGAGGCAAGGTCCGCTCGGTACCCCCACAGCTCAACTAACCGCGCTCGGTTGGATTATTTCCGGTCCGACCGAAAATAAACGGAAGGCTTCAAAAGAAGCCGTTTTAAATTGCGTTCTCGGTCAAGAGATAGACACTCTTCTCCAGCGGTTCTGGGAAGATGAGGAGATCGCGCCTCAAATTCCCCTCACGGAGGAGGAAGAGATTTGTGAGCGACACTTCGTGCAGACGCATAGTCGGTTGTCCGACGGACGATACGTCGTTCGACTACCCTTTAAATGTGATCCTCCGATCGAAATCGGAGAGTCTCTTTCCATTGCGCGGTCGCTGTACAACCGTATGGAAAACAGATTGAGAAATCGATCGGAACTGTATTCGCAGTATAACGAATTTCTAGCGGAATACGAGTCCCTCGGACATATGACTAGCGTCGACGAGTCGGAAAAAACCGAGTATTTGCCCGTTTACATTCCGCACCACCCCGTGATTCGGGAAGATAGTTGCACGACTAAATTACGGGTCGTTTTCAACGCGTCGTGCCGAACTAGGAATGGCACGTCGTTGAATGACTTTTTATTAATAGGGCCCAAATTACAGCAAAATCTACCTGCCGTGTTATCGCGATGGCGACGGTGGAGCTTCGTCTGTACGGCCGACATCGCCAAGATGTTTCGGCAAATTCAAATTCATGAGCAAGATTCAGACTACCAAAGAATTCTTTGGCGTCTTCAAGCGGAAGCGCCCGTTCGACATTTTCGCTTGTTAACGGTCACTTACGGTCTCGCTCCCGCTCCGTATCTCGCGATGCGCGTATTGAAACAGCTCGCCCTTGACAAGGGAGAAAAGTTCAAGGCCGCGGTTCCTATCCTAGGAGAGTCTATTTATGTAGACGACGCCCTGTTTGGCGCGGATGATATAAAATCTTTAAAAAATACTCGCGTTCAATTGATGCAGTTAATGGAAAAGGGGGGATTTCAATTAAGGAAATGGGCATCAAATTTGATCGAACTTCTCAAGGATTTGTCTGTTGACCAATCGGAAGTAACCGATCATCTAATCCTGACGGAAGATTCACTTAAAGTTCTCGGCCTGTCATGGATGCCTAACGAAGACTTGTTTCGCTTGGTCGTGAACTCGACCACCCCCAGCGTTCCTACCAAACGCTCAATTCTTTCATTTATCGCGAGGCTTTACGACCCTCTCGGATGGGCCGCTCCCGTCGTGATCGTGGCAAAAATAATACTTCAAGAGCTGTGGTTGTTACATTGCGAATGGGACTCTCTCATCTCCGATGAGTTAAAGTCCCGTTGGAATTATTTTGTATCAGAATTTCACAAATTAGAAATGATCAAAATTCCACGGTGGACTGGTCAAGGTCCACAAACTCTCGCGCTAGAGATACACGGTTTCGCTGACGCGTCAAATCGAGCTTATGCCGCCGTCGTATATCTTCGCGTCTATCATTCGCTTTCAGACTTCGCAATAAATTTAATCGCAGCAAAAACAAAGGTCGCGCCCGTGAAAACCGTGAGCATCCCGCGTCTAGAGTTAAACGCGGTAGTGTTATTGAGTCGCCTCGTAAAGTGGACTGTTAATTCGTTGCAGTTAGTTGGAACTCCGATCCATTGTTGGACGGATTCCACGATAGCTCTGGCGTGGTTGCGCCAGCACCCATCAAAGTGGAACACATACGTGGCCAACCGCGTGGCTGAAATACAGAACAATTTGCCATCTACTCGGTGGAGTCACGTACCATCGGCAGAGAACCCGGCGGATTGTGCGTCGCGCGGGCTATCCGCGTCTGAGTTAGTGTCACATTCGCTATGGTGGACGGGACCACCATGGCTTCGGCAACCTTCAACGGCTTGGCCGATTCAGGATATGACGAATACTAGACTCACTAATGAACTACAGCAAGTTTCAGCTGAACTGCGAAAAACCAAAGTTCTTCACATTGAAGGTGAAGAAGAGTGGGATCTACTTTACAAATTTTCAAGTTGGACGAAGCTCGTCCGAGTGACGGCTTACGTCCACAGGTTTCTCGCCTTACTGCGGAAGGAAAAGGTTCGTAAATTTAACAAAAATTCGACACTGAGCGTCGACGAGCTTAAACGGGCCGAGCAATTCTGGCTGTCTTATGTCCAGCGGAGAGCTTTCAAGGTCGAATTCAAAACTTTGCAAAAGACTGCCACGATTTCAAAAAGGAGTTCCTTCCGAACTTTTGCTTCATTCTTAGGAGAAGATTCGGTACTCCGGCTTGGCGGGCGGTTGCGACACTCCGCTCTTAGCTACGATGAGCAACATCCCGTAATCGTGCCGCGCGGACAACTCGCTTACTTTCTAATCGCTCAAGCTCATAAGAGTACACTCCACGGTGGAGTTCAAATCGTGCTGCGCACCCTTCGTCAGAATTATTGGTTAATGGGAGGGCGAAACTCCGTCAAGGGATATATAAGACAATGCATCCCGTGCGTACGACACTCGGCTAAACTTTCGAGCCAATTCATGGGAGACCTCCCGTCTCCACGCGTCAATCCGTCTTCTCCATTTGCTCATACGGGGGTGGATTATACTGGTCCTTTCTTAGTCACGCCGTTCGTTGGCAGAGGCCAAAAAACCAGAAAAAATTATATAGCTTTGTTCATCTGCCTCGTCACGAAAGCAATCCACGTAGAGCTAGTCGAAGACTACTCTAGCGCTGGGTTCCTCGCCTCCTTTCGGCGATTTGTGAGCCGAAGGGGCTTGCCGTCCAAGCTATATAGCGATAATGGAACGAACTTCCACGGGGCTGACAAGGAATTGAACGACGCGTTCAGCGCCTTGATGAAGGATTCGTCACTGCACGACATCCTTGCAAATGACAAAATTGAATGGAACTTCATTCCGTCTGCGGCTCCTCACTTCGGTGGGCTATGGGAGGCGGGAATCAAAAGTCTCAAGTCGCACTTAAAACGAGTCGCCGGTTCACGAACTCTGTCACAGGCCGAATTCGCGACGTTATTATGCCAAATCGAGGCGTGCTTAAATTCTCGTCCGATCGCGGCATTAAGCGACGATCCGAGTGACCTATCGGCACTCACTCCGGGTCATTTCCTGATCGGGCGCCCCATAATTGCGATACCGGAGGAGTCAGTGCTCGAAAGTAATGCGAATCGACTCTCGCGATGGCAGATGGTCCATTCTTTAGTCGAACAGATTTGGCGCTCGTGGTCGCAAGACTACTTGCACTCCCTGCAGCAGCGGCGTAAGTGGTCGGAAAAAACGTCTTGTTTTCGCATAGGAGAACTCGCCTTGTTGAAGAATCCCTTGCTCCCTCCGAGCAAGTGGAACCTAGCGCGAGTCACGCAGATTCATCCCGGCTCAGATGGACTCGTGCGAGTAGTTACGGTGAGAACTGCGAGCTCGATCCTGAAACGACCAATTACGCTACTGTGCCGGCTGCCAATCAATAGCAATATTTGAAAATTGTACTTGCGTTAAAATTAGATTGTAATTATTTGATAAATTTCGGGTGTGATTTATGTATTTAGCGTCAAAATCTAATATGTTAGGCAATATTCTCCTCTTCGGCGTGGTTTTCGAGCCAGGTATCGCATTTATGACTTTGTTATTCGACCCATCGCATTGTCGGTAGAATTTCGAAACATGTATAATTGTATTTGCGTGCTTGAACAGCCGAAAGAAACGAATATTTGCTAAGGCTCAGTGCCTATTGAAAATTGAGAGCGTCTTTATAATTTAGAAATATTTACTCGAAAATCGTAAAAGGTGTTTTCACCTTCTGATTACTTGCCCTCGTTATTCGATCGCAAGGAATTATTGCATTGATCTCTTGTTTGATTTCTTGGTTGATTGAAAATTGATTTATTATTTTCATCGTACGTTGAAGACTACCGTTGGCTATATTTCGCATATTCGCATACGTTCAAATGCGAGGCGGGCGGTATGTTTAAAATTGTCACGTATTTTCGAAACGACGAAGCAAGGTCAATCGTAGAAATTGAAAATATTCGACGCCGAGATGTTATTCCGGTTGTTTTCGATTCCGCGAGCGAGGAATCTACAAAAACTCGCCTTTGTCTCGCGTTTCGGAGCATGATGGGGCAATCGTCCGCGAATAGGATTTCAGCACGTGTGCCACGCGTCGATCGGATGATCGATCGCCCCCTTAGCTGCCGAATTCCGCGAGGATCAAAAATGAGTCTACTCGAGGAGTCTGAACTGAAGAGACGTCTCCGTGTATATCAGCGAAAAGAGCATCGCGCGAATTTATCTCGCTCTAGAGCAAACTTCCGCGTTTTAATTTTGTCTGCGAGAATTTTGAATAAAACTGCTTTGCCTCAAAAGTGAATTTCTCCACCTTACAATTTTCTCTGCATCCAGTCTCCTTCGTATCTGCGAGCCGACTTATAAATAAATAAATTTGCCTCTGCGCGGAAAATTAAAATAAATCGAAGGTTCTCGCACAATATTTAATTTTTATGTATTGAAAAAGACTGTAGTACAGTCGAAACGTTTATGCTGTATATTGTTTCTCTAACGGAATGAGAATTTAATTATTTAATTATTAATAAATCTTTAGATCTTATTTAATTGCTCGTTTAGTTGGCCTACAATATTTACCTTTTTTAAATTTTGTTAATTTATACGAGCCTTTCATTAATTAATTTTATTTTTTATATTATATTTTGACAGCATTAAAATTATTTCCCTATTTGAATATTAATTTAGCAATGATAATATTTTTTTTAAATATATAATATTATAGGAGTGTCTGAATTGTATCAAAGCTCCATTTTTACGCGCGCAACCAACGCAAGCACGGTTGGACAATATATGCTACCAATCCACATTGCCAATTGGCTAGTTTTGGACTAGGATCTTCTGATTGGTTAACTACGCTGGCGCCTTAAGTCGCGCATGATGTGTGCAGTGACTTAACGAGATCCTCCTAGCGCGGCGATTTTGTTTTTTCGCTCTTTCTCTGCGATAACGTGAGCCCATACGGACGTGTATTTTGTGCCTCCGATATTTGCGAAGTTATCTCGAGGAATTCCATACTTTCTACATCATTATTTTGATTTATCAAATATCCGCAGTGAGTACCTAACAACATGTAACAATTAAATTGATAATTTCTTTTTTATTTTATGATGATTAGAAATCATTCGAGAGAAAGAGATTCGCGGTATTTTATTTTCAAGTTTCTATATATTTTATTAATATTATATGTTATATTTCTTATCGCAATATATTTGTCGCGTTCTTTTGGTATTATACAATAATTAAATAATTTGTTAAATAATATAGAAAGATGGGAATTGTTGCATTTGGCTCGATTTTCGTAACTTAGCAACGAGACGTCGGCGCGACTAACTAAAGGCCTGCGCACAAAGGCGCGCCAACTCGTTGTTAAATTCTATACTTTTTACATATTATTTTAATTTATCAAATATCTGCAGTAAATATTTAACATCGTGTAACAATTAAATTGATAATTTTTTTTATTTAATGATGATTAGAAAAATCATTCGAAAGAAAGAGATCGCGATTTTTTATTTTCAATTTTCTATACATTTTATTAATCTTATATATGTTATATTTCTTGTCGCAATATATTTGTCGCGTTTTTTTGGCATTAGACAATAATTGAGTGATTTATAAAACAATATAGAGAGATAGGAATTGTTGCATTTGGCTCCATTTTCTTAACTTAGTAACGAGACGTCGGCGCGACTAATTAAAGGTCTGCACAGAAAGGCGCGCCAACTTGTTGCTAAATTAAAAAAATGGAGCCAAAATATGTAACAATTCCCATTTCTATATTATTTAACAAATCACTCAATGTTATTATTTAATAAGAAAATGATAACATATTCTTTTATATGTTAACAATTTACAAGTCAAGAATTATTGCGATTTTTGTCAAGCCCTCATAATTCTTAATATATAAAGTGTCTTTTCGATTTTTTTTAGGATCTATAATATTAAAAATACATGTCCACTTTTATACAAAAATTTTTTAATGATGTTTGAAATATATTTTTAATATATTTTTTTCCCTATCGTCATTGATCACACTATTTTCGAGTGTACGTTTCTTATGTTAGAGTGGTATATTCTAAATATAGCAAATGTTTCGAAATCTTTTGTTAAGGGATTAGACTGTACTGACCGGTCAAAAAAATAAATAATTTTAAAGCATGAGTTACTAAGAAATAAAAAAAAGCTATAAATTTGTAATTTAGTACTTTATTTAAGTATGCGAGGGGTATAAAAGCATGTAAAAAGAAAACGTAAATAATATTTTTAATATCATTTATTAAATGTTAAAAAAAACTAATTTTTTTCACTAGTGTCGAAAATTTTTCGGTATGTACTCATTGGATCGACTTAAAGTTTTTTTTTTTTTATTAACCTTTCTCTAAACATTGACATAGGATTTTTTCAATATCATTAGTTTGCAAAATATTAACAAATTAATTAACAATTTTTATGCTAAAAATCAAACCAAAATTTCAACAAATTTTTTTATTGTGTACTTAAATAAAGTACTAAATTACAAGTTTATAGTTTTTTTATATTTCTTCGTAATCCATGCTTAAAAATTATCTATTTTTCCGGTCGGTCACAGTAGTCTTTAAGGGGATCAACGCTGTGATGGCTAAAAAAAGTAGCTCTTTTTTGCGAATTTTTTGGGATGCCCATAAAGCAGGTAGTTAAATAAATGTTTTTGCATTGAATTTATTGTTCTTTGAACTATTAAAAAATATTTTTTTATTTAGTTAAATACATTTTTATTTTAATATAAAATGTATTTGTAGTAGACTCTGTATTATCTATCGGCCTTGCACGTGGAGTCCTTAAAAGTCATCTAAAATTTAAAAAGTCAAAATTTTTTTGAAATATATAAATATATTAGTTTCAGTTAAGCGTACAGAAATTTTAATGTCTTCATTATTCGTAAAATGGTGCATTTTTAAATAAAATTTTTCAAAAAAAGAAAACCGTTTTTTATCGTACAAATCATAAAAATAGGAAATTTTAATTGTAAAAAGAAATCTGTACGCTAAACTGAAACTACATTTATATACCTCAAAAAAATCTTGGGTTTTTTAATTTCAAATGACTTTTAAGGATCCCAGGTGCAATAAAACCGATAAATAATGCAGAGTCTACTACAGACACATTTTATATTAAAATAAAAATGTATTTAATCAAATAAAAAATATTTTTTAATAATTCAAAGAATAACAATTCAATGCAAAAACATTATTTATCTATCTGCTTTATGGATGTTACAAAAAATTCGCAAAAAGGGTTACTTTTTTAAGCCGTTACAGTATTGATCCCCTTTAAACAATTAACATATTTAAACTAGGTTTTATACTATTTCTATATAAAACTTCTATTAAAAATTTACAGTATATAACTTCATTATGTCATGAAATTGTTTGTTTTCTTGAATTTTTTTTGTGTATTTTTGAAATTTTTTTCTTCAGCAATTACATTCCTACATAATTTTATCATATGTCATAGGTTCATAATTATATGTATAAACATTTGTATTATTTGTACATGTTTAAATGATGTTTTTATTTGTTTTGGAATAAATATACACCCTAATTTTTTAAAAAGTATTAAAATTTACCGGAGCACATCACAAAAGTTATGGATCTAATTTTAATACTATTGTTATATAATTTTTCGCAAATAGTACACTGTAAAAAAAATAGTCAATCTAACAGATAATTTAGTTCAATACGCACAACAAAATATTTATTTAAATAAAGCAAAAATATATTTGAATTGATAAAGTACCTACTTAATTGTAGATAGCATATTTTATTGATTTAAATATATTTTTACTTCATTTAAATAAATATTTTGTTAGGCGTATTGAACAACATTATCTGTTAGATTAACTTTTTTTTTACAGTGTAACAATTTGTTTAAAGTTTCGGCAGATGCCTTTAAAGTTTGTGCAAATTCCTTCATTTAATCTGAATAATATTGATGATATTTTGAAGTATTGTTATTGTTAAATTCATTTGTAATTCCAAATCAAAATCCGAAAACTTTTTCAGCAAAATATTTTTTGAGCTATCTGTGCATGTTCCTTTTTCTTTCAGATATTTTAATAACCCAGAAATCTTTTTTATTTATAATGACACACACACATATATATATATATATATATTCACAAATTAAAAATTTCCTGACAATATATATGATTTTTAATTAAAAAATATATTCATGTAAAAAATTAATTATTAACCCTTACTCCGTATTGTTATTTTTGGCACCTATAGACACCGTACAGGTGGATCAATTATTTTTGATGCATCTTATTAATTAGTGAAAGTGTTTAAAAAAATTTTTTTAAATTCATACACCTTCTTTGATCTTTCTAAATAGACTAGAATAATAAATTTGAAAAATAATTTACTTAAATATATTGT